AATTTAAAAATGATTGTAGTAATTTAACAGGAGAAAAAAACCCCTCGAAAAAATAGAAACAGAAAAATGCAGGGAGGACTGGCCTGCATGTGGCGGTACATAATGGGATATAGTCTGACATCAACATGGCCGAAATAAATGTCAGCTGTACATGGCATTGTGTAACGGATTTCATAAAATGGTACGTAGGCGGGTCGTTCAGGACTGGCCAGTCTCGAGCTGATAGGAACCCAGATGCGGTCGGTTTCATTCAACCGAGTCCATCCGAGCATGAGGGAAGGGATATGCGACCAGACTACTAGTATAAGGCGAATATAGAAGGCTTTGTCAAGACCGCCGATGGAGCGCATTCTGTGACGGCATCAAGAAGATCAGTCTCGAGGCGATAGGAACCCAGATGCGGTCGGTTACATTCATCCGAGTCCAACCGAGGATGGGGTAAGGGAGATGCGACCAGACTACTAGTATATGGCGAATACAGAAGGTTTCGCCAAGAGCATCGATGGTGCGCATTCTGTGAGGGCACGATGCATGAACTGAAAAATTGGAATAATCAACACTTCTGGTGAGGGATCTTAGGATGCGAGACTACTCACAAAGGAAGGAAATGTAAGCGAGTACGGAAATTTAATGGCGGCATACTAAATTCCCGGTGGCCCTTTCTCAGTGTCATAGAAAAAGTTGTCTGGGAAGGATGAGGAAAATAAAAGTTTAATCGAGTCGGTATTCAGATAAAGGCGTAGCCTTCTCTTAAAGGTGTGTAGATTTTCTGAAGATCTTATATTTATTGGAAGGTTATTCCAGAGGAAAGTATACCTGGAAGCGAAAAAAAGGGAGCTCTTAGAGGTGGAGGACGCTGGAGGAGGTAAAATTAGAGACGAGTTGCGAAGATTGTATGGACGACTACTAGGGGTAAGTGTTGAAATCCGAGGAAAATTCGAACTATGATTAATGGGAAAGAGGAGACAGACGCCCGCTTCTAGTCTTCGAACCCATAAAAATTTTAGGTTAATTAGCTGGCATCTATCTGAGTAGGAGATATTGGGATGTTCCCTAGCTAAACGTTTTTTAGAAAAACGTCTTTGGACATTTTCCATTTTTAAGCGACTGGCTTCATTCATCAAACCGAAGAATGGGCAACAATACTCGAGAATGGGAAGTACAAACATACGATAGAGCCTTAATTGAATTTCAGGAAGATAGAAATTGTAAGAAATAAAGCCACAAATCTGGGCAGCTTTGGCTGTAATTCTGTCAACTTGCGGCGAGAGATCAAGATTACTAGTGTAGCTTAAACCTAAATCCTTGATGGTGGTACATTCAGTCATAGGTGTGCCTTGAAAGACCACTGGTTGGGGTAACCTTATCAGGTCGAAAACACATATAACGACATTTAGACGGAGAGAATTCCATTAGCCATTTTGAGCTCCAAGCTGAGAGAGCAAGAAAGTCAGCATGGATTTGCTCCAGGCAATGAAGACTCGTAGATTTTATTGAAAGAATATACACATTTGAGATCATCGGCATAAATAAATGATTGTGAATGTTTAACTGCTGATGAAATATCATTTATGTAAAGCAAGAACAAAAGAGGACCTAAAACGGTACCTTGTAGGACACCGCTCACAATAGGACTTTCACTGGAAAGTGAAGATCCCACCAAAACCTTTTGTTTACGATTAGACAGGTATGACCTGAGAAAGTCTATTAGTGGACTGCGAATTCCCATAGCTTCCAATTTAACCAAGAGTCTTTTATGTGGCACTTTATCAAAGGCTTTACTAAGATCGAAATAAATAACGACAACAGATAGGTGATCATTACGAAGAGAGGTAAGTAGATCGAGAAACGACAGATGACATGTTTCACAAGATCGATCTGGTAAAAAACTTAGTGCTGGCCATGATGACGACTTCAGTGTCGTTCGAACAGAAGAGGCGGTTGCACTCGAGTGAATGCGCAAATACGAGGAACCATGGGTTACATCGACAAACAGCTAGTTTGAATTTGCTATTACGAGTGCACAGGGGTTGACCCTTATAACCAACATACACGCGAAAGAAGCTAGAGAATTGGTTGTGAGCAATACTTTTCCACTATCCCTCATGACTTTTCGGCGACGTTGATGCTAAAGCGGCTTATCTAGATAATTTTTTATAGATAGATAATTTTTTATTAAAGACCCGCCGGGGTCCCATCAAAGCAAGTTAAAATAAATTTACATGCGAGTTTTAGACGAGGTAGGCCGAATATTTACAAAATGCAATTCATAGTTTATGAATTAGAAGTCCATTGAGAAACATGATGATTGAGGGGTGGAAAAAAAACTCCTTACAAAAAGTTAAAAATGATTGGATTAATTTTACAGGAGAAAAAAACCCCTCAATAAAAATAATAACAGAAAAAAGCGAGCAGGACTGACCTGTAGGTGGCGGTATATAACGGAATATTGTCGGTCATCGTCAGGGTAGCAATAAATGTCAGCCTTGATGGGTACGAATGTGGGTCAGACAGGACTGGCTTGCAAATGGCATTGTATACGGGATTCACAACTCAGATCGTCTGGGCCGGATTGGTACGCCGCGTCAAAGAGGCCAGACGAGAGGAACCCAGATGCGATCGGCCACAGCACGCTTCGAGCTCAGCCGAACAGTGGGGAAGGGAGGTACGACCGAACTAGTAGTAGACAGTGAATACTGAGGGTTCCGCCGTGAGCGTCGACAGACCGCATGAGGTCGGAATGCGGGAGATGACATCAAAAACCGCGAAAATTGTCGCTATGGGGGGGGGGAGTGATAGCAGTGGATTTAGAAACCAATTCGAAACAAGGGTTTCTAATGACATAATTAAGAGTTACCACTTAATCTACCATCTAATCCCAGGAGGACCCTTCTCGAAGTCCAGAATCGGAGTGTTCGGGAATAAGACCGTCAACAGTTCCTTTATGCTTTCCGGTGTAAGATGAATTAATACGTGGTCACTGTCAAAGAGGTCCATTTTTAAAGCAACAGAAAGAGGAGCAATGTCATTGGTAAAGCTTAGATCTAAAATGTGATTATCTCTTGTTGGAGAGCGCACCAGTTGGGACCAATTAGAAAAATTGACAATATCTTAAAAGGACTGGAATCTGGGTGGGCAGCTATTGGAAACCCAGTCTATTTCAGGAAGGTTAAAATCCCCAGTGATTATTTTAATATCGAAAGCAGCTTCCGAAATCAATTTAAAGATTTCACAGAGTTGTGAATCATCACTGGCTAAAGAATTTGGGGGATTGTAGATACAGCCAATAATTGCCTTTCTTTGCGGCGAGAGAATAACAGATGCAAAGCAGAAGTTT